GTTTTTTAAACTACTGAATAAAACTGATGTCAATTAATCTTCGTTTATGATTCTTTCTGATTGATGATATTCAGTAAGCTACATGAGTAGTTCGAGGTTTCACTCTCTTTTCAGGTACTGTGAATCTAGAAAGCTCCCCTCAAACTTCTGTATTACTTTATGACGAATGAATGGACTAGTGGATAACCTCCTCATCATGGTTACTACGGTTCTAAGTAAATAAAACTTTCGAATAAATGTAACCTGAAATTTGTTACTACTATGGTGACGCATATTCCGTGAATTTTGCAATCACATTTTTATACAATACCTGTTGTTTTTCTGTATTACTTATTTAAAAAAACGATGATAAATGTTTTGATGAACCGAACTTTACTTTTATTAACGCGCTGATTGAAATATAGCACGTTATCTACATCGTCTGCCCTTCTGCTTTATTGACCACGGCCTTTGACCGAAGATTATAAAAGTGTCATAATATCTTTTTAAGCCTTCTTACACTACGTTAGTATTTTGGCCCGGATTACTATTACATAATACCATTGGACTCTTTCTCGTCACGCCGTCGGTGCCATCATACGCAGGAGAATGTACATTAAATCAGGCGGACTTATTTGTGGTTATCATCCCAGAGAGCAGCCTTCAAGTAACATTCATGCTGTAATAATTGTTATTATCATATCGTTCAATATACCATTTGTATTATAACTGTAAATTCTTAACCTTGGCTTTTACTCGTACACAGACACCTAAGACTTTTACTGTTAACCCTATTGGTATATTATTATTAACTTAGTGTATTGATATATATATCTTATATAAACTATTTTGCTATTATCCACCACACTAATAAGTTTTTGAAAGGCATACTTGGGCTTAAAACGAACGTTCCCTGTACCACCAAGACAGGTACCTAGAAGATTAGAAGAGCGGCTCATTTTAACAGTCAATTTTCTAAATCAATTAAATTCCTAATTGAACAAAGTGTTGAAACCACGGAAAATTTAAGACTTGTTGAACACGCAAACGACTGTAAAAGATATAGAAGTGGAGGAATCAATACGATTAGATAAATTGGTCATGTGACTTGCTGTTAGCTGAAGATATACATATCAAAGCACCGAAAAGTAACAGTGACTCCAGCATGGTTACAATTAATCCGAACACGAACATAAATTTCCGGAGAGAAAAGAATTCTTACTATCCCCGCAACTTCTGGAAGATCTACACTGCCATGTGAGAATATACGCTCTCTCGCTTCAGCAATACCCATAAATTTCGATCTACAAACACTGAAACACTTTAAAGATCACCATTCACGTTATCATGCGGAAGAACGTTGCACAAAGCCTGCACAATCCCGCTGCGAGAAAGTTCTGATCAAAATGAACATCTGTGCGATTGCTTAAGCCAGAGGGGATTGACTAAAACAGACGGCGATTCTCACTTAAGGAAACCAATTATAAACCCTAAATGATATTAAGAAGCAACCTCAACACGAAGAGAAAGCGGGATAAGTGATGTTTCGAAAGAAACTTGGCTGTGAAGTTATATATTTAGCTGACAGAATTCATCAGTGATCGCCCAGTTTAACTTCTGGCAGTGCCTGTAGACCAAGACAAGTTAACAGGGCTGTGCAGCTTGGAAACTCTTCATTTATTTCAAAGGCAGTTCGGTACTTTGACAACGGAGCTCTGTCTGACATCGTTAAAGATCAATACTCACTCTTGATAAGAGACCTACAGCATACTATCACTTCATCCCCACAGAGATTTTATGAGTCTCCTGGATATGCGATGTAAATTGAGTCAAAATTTTACAGATTCCTTATGCAACAAAATCACTATTTTTGTTCCGGAAAATCTGTTCTGTCCTTAACGTTCGTCAAATTACTTTTCTTCCAAGCTTTATCGGAGTTCATCGTTAAGTGTGGTTTGTCTCAATTTACTATTCGGTTTCTAAGGTCTTCCACGTCGAAAACAGTTCCACCATTTACTGAAATTTACAACCCACTTTTATCAAATTTGTCTGTCACGACCATTTTCTTTTTCACGGTCATAAACTTTTGTTAAAATTTGCTTATCAATTTATATCTCACCATGTTCATAAGGACACTTCAATGCGTCCTTGGTCCGTTTAGATGTCACCTGTGGTTTGCAGTGTGAAAAAAAGTAAAGATTGTTTTCAAAATTCATGTTTAAACTCTCAAGGAATTACTTAATGCAGACAGTAAATTGGATTTTACGTGAGCATGTGGCACATGAAACATGAATTCTGAGGATTTACCGAGCGACATAGTCATTCTCCCGACAATTTTGAAAACACTGAAGGGCAAGTAGAATTTCACTGGGTCCTAGGCAAATCATACAGCAGTTGAGTCACTGAATATCAAACAGGTCATCGATCCTTATCATGGTCAAGGACAACCAAAGCGCACCAGTTAATAGTATGCCAAGGATTAGCGCATGCGGTGGTGGTCTTGCTATCTTCTCTGTATCATGCCTGTAAAAATGGCGCGTACAGGCTCATGCAGAAATATATTATTATTATTAATTACTAGGTTTGAGTTCACTTAATCTGCGAACGAGAAACAAGACTCAGTGACCAAAGACTAGTAAGCTAGCTATTGATGCGTTTCAGCTCCGCTATCTAGAGGGAGAACTCCAAGCTTAGAATGGGAAATACATTCTGAAAACATCCAGAAAACGAGCGATCACAACAAACACAATTTCGAAACGTATATATACAAATATACATATTCGATATTGCCCTGGAGCTCTTAAACATTTAATCGATAAGTTCGTCAATCTACTGCCATTGAAATATTTAAACATCAGATCGTTCAACCTGTCAACAAGCAACACGGGAATCCTTGGTGTAATCTAACTGACAAATAAAGAGAACCCCAGCCATGTCATATCCTAAAATCTGGAAAACCCACCATGGCTAGCGGTGATTTTCTTATAATCATGAACCTTGAAGATAACTCTGGAAACCGTCTCAGTCTCCAGGACTAAAATCACAGGATGCTTTGAGAAGAATTAAATAGGAGGTTTAAATTTACAAAGTGACCCGCTGAGAATTAATTGGCTAATTTTGGAGGAGTATACTGAACACCAGATTCAACCAAGCCTCCTTCACATAACGTCTACTAACATTGCTGACTAAGACAATGTTCTACTGCCCAGTCACTTGCTAGAATCAGAAGTGGACGTGAAGGTATTGCCTAGTACACCAAATTACGAGCATAATTCCATCTGGAACATCCCTAAGGAATCTCGTAGAATTATGATCTACTTCGTTATCAATAATTCTCTAGTAATAGATCTAATCCCACAGTTGTAGTTTTATCATCTTACGTGGAAGTCACATCATTGTCTACACTGACTCATCGTACGGTTACAATCACCAATACGTGACGGAGAACAGATTTAGCCTGGAGATCGAACGATATATTTATTATGAATGAAAGTGATGTTACACAAGAATGACCATACCTCCAAGGAAGAGCCATGCCATTCGATGAGTTGAATTCATTCTTTCGGCTTTCTCCATCCCTGTGTTTTTCTCCACGTTAAATGTTGAATACTCATTTTCCCAGTTGTCTTGTGTTCATCTTTGAGGATTGTGTGGTTAAAGCCACATGCCAGTACAAGCTTACTAAAGTCTCCTAGGATAAGACATCGACCACTTTGTGGCCAATTTTTGAAACCGTCTATCAATACCTAATTTACTTCACAACTTGGACTGTGGTCGACCAAGCCAATCGGCAGCTCTACTCTCTTGCATTTCAAATGAAAACTAACTAATTCATTCGTCTCACTCTGATGGGGTACATCATCGATGATTGCAGGTGGGATAGTATTGCTAACGAATAGGGTTACTGTCCCTTCTTCAAGCTTCTAGATTATATCGGCTCTCATCAACGTAAAGCTTTCAAAATCAAGTTCAATGCTATACATAGGCCGCGTCAGCCGAGCTGTTGTTACTGCTATTACGTCTGGCTTGCTGGAGTCAACCTCTTCACCCAGTTCTGACTGCTTCGTGAATTTCCGTAGAGGATCCGAAGCCCATTTATTTAGCCTCGTGTTGCACCCGTAATGGCTTCAGGATCATTCTTTACCGAAGCCTCACAACCCGAAAACTTACAATTTCCAGGTCCTTATTCGTCTTCTCGTCTTTTAACATGTTCTGAATGCAGCAAGTCCTTGCGAGCAAAAACGTCTGAATTCGGATTATGTCAATCCTGTAATATTAAGTGCCTTTAATTACGAGATTTCAATACTACTTTAGGCAGCCTTGTTTGATTTTGTTTCATGTCCGTTTGGCTAAATAGTCTACACGCCTTTAGCAAGGCGACTGGGTGTTGGTAACTACTTTTCTTGAACTGTCCAGCCATCAAATAGAGGTTTTCAAAAACAAACTATATGCAATAATATTCAGGGACGAAAGTAAACTGTGAAAAAAAAGTGGAAAGCTGTCAGTTGTCAGAACCAAAAGTGCTAATAAATGCAACAGAAACAAAGTACTTAAATGTACCGACGATAAATTACTTTGGAGACAAAAAGATATTTTATCTGAAATTAATTCAGATAAATGGTAAGTAGTAGTCCTGATACATAACAAACGATCATAACAATAAAATTTACTCAGTGAGGAAAAATACTACTGTCCATTTTAAAAAGTGTAGTTGACACACATTCTCGTAGGGATACCTAGATCAGCTCTCTTTTAGGCTGTATACCATAACACACTCAGTGCGGAATTTGAAAGTTCATCAGTCTATAAATATATATCGAAGTCTCGAAACTTATTGAGACAAGTAGATACATTAACATTATTAGTGACAATGTTAATACATATACAACTCATATCTTCATACTTAGTAACGGTAGCCAATTAGCTAACTTATTTAGACTGATTCGTCACAAAACTATGTACACTATTTTTGAATCAATGTACCGTTACCATGAGGAAACAAATTGCCACTGTTTTAAATAATGGAGCGACCGGGAACACAAGACAATATTCAGAATAGTACGAAACATAGTTTTTCGACACCTGTGTAAAATATCATGCTCTGAGCTGCATATATTTATTTATAACTATTCGGAACTGTTTTTACTATATACTTTAAACCTTATCTCAATAGGATCTCCTATTTTGTCCTCTTGTTGTAAATATAAAATCTCTTAGAATAAATCCTAAGAATAGAAACTAGAAAGGTGCCTAAACAAAAAATTAAACCTTTTTCAGCGCTATTTGATTATCTAAATTTGCAATCTGGAATGCGTTTGACTACCTCTTTCAGAATCCTCTTCTCCCGAAAAGAACGTTTATACAATTCTGTTCCAATCTACACCTTAGATGGTATCTTGCAATAAAATTCAAAAGCAAATGCAGAGAAGTTTGTATGAATGTTTTAGTGGTTATAGAATTTCTATCTGAACTAACAGTAAGTGATACTGTGCTGTGGGTTATTTATATCCACACAAGTAGTATATGACGATGGTCAGGCATAGAATGTATTTCAGTGAAAGGTCGATGAGGAAAGAACGGAAACGAAACTCAAATGGCATGAACAATGGAATCTGAGTCAATAGATTGATGTGTGCAGCAGGGACAGTCAAGTTTGATATGATGGATTAATATTTTGCAAATTAACTATTTAATATATGGTTCTCAGATTTTATTGGGATGCTCTGTAATTATGTGCTTAAATACATTCGATTGTCCCCACCGGTGTTTTGTTCACTACACTAATACTACTTCCATTGATAACTAGTGCTCTTACCCTTCAGACCCGAAAAAAAACATAACAAAGTCACGCCTTTCCATAATGAAAAAAGACTTTACAGTGCCCAGATTTGGATATTAGGGAATAGATTGTTTGCGCTGCAGAACATCAAGCGTTAAAGCTTATTCAAGGAGATTGAACAATAAGTTTCCATATATATGTGTATCCGAAAGGTTAGAATATATTCCAGAGGTGCTAGGCTCTTCGAAATAGGTGTATTTATAGAGCTTTCATTATCTTTTTAAGTAATATCTTTGGCCACTAATTTATAGTGATCACCGTTAACAGCTGAGGATTTCGACAAAACTGAGGCTATTGTGCACTAGTTACAAAGTGTCTACAATTTTATGACTCATTTGAACATTTTCTCCTAACGGGTATGTGGGATCGAAACGGCAACTACAGCATTTTGCACTAGCCGACAGCAATACTTATATTTTTAGTCCTCACATTTAAAATCTACAACTTACCTTCCTACCTAGAGGATTCCAGCTAAATGACCCATGTCTTTATGAATGGCTTAACCCAAGAATCAGCAAGTGCATGAAATACTGTCGTTTCTCGATTTGGCCATTCTTGGTTCTACATCAGTTAACATAACCTATTTCAGTAGGTGATTTGGTGTGTTGATAATATGATTCCATCAACCCAACGATCACTTTGACTTCATTATCTAGGCATGTATTTTTCGTATCGGCACTGTTAGTGGGACAACCCACCAAAGGTTAAAAAAGCGTCAGAGATACAAGATTGAATATTTGTAATCTGCAAATATCCTAAAAGCAATGGTTTACGAATAGTCATGCTGCATTTGGTAACACCGAAAAACATCACACCTGAGGTAATTATTCAGTGTCACACTAAGAAAGTCAGCTCAGTCTAGGTTTGCACCTAATGATTGGTTACATCTTGCCGGACTTATATGGTTGTGCAAATTACTTATAATTAGTTCTTTCGGTGATCTGAAATACTTTACGAAGATCTGTCTGTAGGATTAATGGGCATACAAAAGATTTAGATCACACAGTATAAAAAGGAACCATTTGATTGCATATTATTTGTTGTTCCTGGTTTACAAGTTTATCGATAGGACCGAAGTCGTCTTTGTCTCACTACCGAGCTTTTACAACTTTGACGTGATAACATTTATGTCATTGTTTTAAACAGAAATCGGAATTGTTCAGAGGTAAGCAATTTAATGTTATATTCATCAACACAATCTAAAAAACTCCGATTTTAGATGATTTGGAGGTGAGAATAAAGGAGATTTTTGATCTATTTGACCACGAACGTAACAAAACAATAGACTTTAGAGAACTCGGGACAGTAATCAGAGCATTAGGTGGTGTTCCAACTGAAGCAGAAGTGATATCACTTGTTCGTGAGGTTAGTTTTCTAACTAGACAGAACGCTAAAATGAAAGTTAGAAAACGACCCACCGAATGGTTATATTAATTATGAAAAATTTCTCCCAGTGATGATGCAAGCAATGGAACAGAAAAGGTAAGGTAACAAATGACTGATATTTTGACCCACTTACAGATTCGAACCTGCAACTGAACAAGATTTACTAAAAGCCTTCCTAATTCTCGATTCAGAGAAGAAAGGATTTTTAAGTGCTGAAGCTTTGGAATCTTATATGGTTTCTTCAGGTAAAGATGTTATCGTAATATATATTTTTAGGAGAACCATTTACAAAAGAGGAAATAGAGGAGATGCTCGCAGCTGCAACAGATTTATCAAAAGGGAAGATTATGTATCGCGATTTCGTAATACAATTATCAACATTTGATGATAAAGACACCTAGTCTTCATGAAACAAGGTAGTTTACAGTGATATTTAGTATTCTAGCAATCAGTTAACGTTTAACAATTCTAAAGGAAAATACGAATATTTGTTAATTGTACATCTTGTATCAAAATACATAAATTCAACTTCGTCTATTTAATTTCTTTGTACTCATTTTAATTCCGTTGTACATATACGAAAAAATAATACGGTAACATTGTGGAAACTTGTGAACATTACTTGGGGATATTTACAAGTGTTAATATTTAGTAATACAAAATTAAAAGTGTAAATAGGCAAAGCCTTAAGTGGGATTTTGAGAAAAGTTAATATGTTATGTGAAACTGAATTCAGCAATAAAGAAATGTAGACTAGAAACAAAGCATCCTGAGAATAGACCGATTCAACCGCGATAGTAATTTACAGCGTCATTATAGTGTTCTTTGAACCAAGTAATCATTCGGTCGAGAGTTGGGAATATTAACTGGCGAAACTTAAAACCTTCGGGTCGTATGCTAAATAATTCAAAATGTGGATTCTTATTAGGTAAATACGCAAGAATGAAATAACCGGGACGTTCTTTTGTTGAACTCAAAAAATAAGGAATGCGATCCGGATTAAGGCTTTTTTCATGTTGAAGTAGAGCATTTAGGTGAGCACGATCACCACCCTGAGAATAAAATAAACAGAATATATGAATAGGAAAAAATTCAAGGTAGATATATTGTGCAAGTTACAAAACCTAGAAAAAAAATTCGTGCAAGAAATTTTAATTTCATATAAGCTAATTATATAAGTTTGATATTAATGAAAAAACACTAAATAAGATTTTATTTACCCCTAAATCGGTCTCGTCACAGGTTGGGTAATGACTATATGCAACAAATAACTTCAAAGTAAATATAATAAGTCACAAGTCTAGTAACTAAGCCAGTCAATCAATAACGACGTAATCGGACACAACCGTGTAAATGACTCCTGAGTTTGTGGAGCTAAGGTTAAGTGACGAATCCTAATGATACAATTTGCGCAATGAAGTGAATTTTTGTTTAATAACGGAAAAATCACTAAAGCTATTCATATAAGTTTACATAATGCGAAATCTCGTTATTTCTGATTTTTTTAATGTTCACCAACTATCCACGATTACATTTGGTTATCATATGGACAGAATAATGAATATGTCTAAAACAAATGAGCATACTGCTGAAAACCGAAAGTTGATCACCATAAAGATACTTAACAACCAACTCTTACAAATAATTTCTTAAACACAGTGAAATTAAGCAGTATATAAATTCCTAATTCTTAATGGAACCCATATTAGTAATTGAGAAAAAATGGTCTTTTAACAGTTTTTCATAAAATAGTGATAGTTAATCGAATGTATATTCAAGAATAAGATAGCTTTACTACAAATATAGTAAGGTGGAAAAGACTAACGCGGTATTTTTGTGGATATTCTAGTGATAGCCTCGTGATATATATACATGAGAGTGAGACAGATCCGCACTCATTACAGTAGGTAATAATGTTGCGAATTGACTGAGTGTGGAAAACGAGGGCTGTTTAATTACGTCTGTAATAAATGATATCACATTTGTTGTTACTCACATAAGCTTTGAATTCAAAACCACATACGATGATGGATGTACATTGTTGAGAAGTATCAGACCAAAACAAAGTAGCTGTTAATGTCTCTTGCGTTTCGAACAGTTAACTAAGCAAGCCTTTGCAAGAAATTATTGGAATACATATTCACTTCCTAATACGTAAAATATTAGCAAAACCAACTCACCGAAGAATCACGGTAATATTTGTAGGTCATTACATCACGAACAAGAGACGCCATGGGTTGCACGTGACGTGCCACAATTTCATCCAAGTCTTCAAATTCTTCATCACCAATAATTAACAGTTTTCCCAGTGAAAAACTATTCGATTTTTCCTTTTCGGAAACATCGATATGTTGCATAATTCCGTCATCTATCTTCCAGCTTACAGTCAGATGATCCGTCCCCTACAAATGGTGAAGTGTACATATTGTGATAGATGTATAACAGAGACAGTAAAAAACTTTAAATCCTTTAATCACTTACATATGTCCTTCTACTTGAAGAAAACCTCCTGTATAGAGGTGCTATATGTGGATAGATGTACAAATGATTGTAATACAAAAGTCTTCCCGATTCGATGTCGTGATAATTGAAGATTTTTAATTTATTTTATAAACTAGTTTGAATCTTAGCGTATATATTAGGAACAAGATTATTTTGAGAGCCCTAAAGTTTAGTGATTTAAGCATACGATTCTTAGTCATTATTACAATTACAAGCTCAATACATCAATACATGTACACCGGTATTGGCACCATTGAAGTTCACAAGGTACGTGTGGATTAATGTTCAGTACGTTAGTTTAAACTTTGTAAGTAATTTATGGTTAACGATTGCCTTATGTATACGAAATGGGATCTAGGACAGCGTTTGTATATGTGGATGGATCCTAATCTCAATTTTAGTTTCACCGTAAATAGTAAGAAACTACCTAAGTTCTATTCAGAGGTAGTTATAGGACCCAGATATTCCCACAATGTATTCTCTTTAAAACAGATAACAACGCAGACGTTGTATCGACTTCTAGATTGGACTTTATGTAAACTTTACAAAAATAACTCATGTATTTTATCGTAGAAAGCATGTGATTGACTTCTACTAGAATACTGTACTTTTATTGTGACTAGTGTTCCTACTAAAGGCAAGCTTTACGCTTCGTATTCGTATGAGTACCTGTACCTTAAACTATAAATACAGATGTTAGAACTTCACAATTTTCGGAAGCGGTACTTTAACTAAATTTGATCTCTTTTTATTCAATATGTTAAATAAACTATCTTTTGCACTCAATAATACAATCTAACTCCAAAAATCAACAAAATCAAAAGTGTAGATTTCTCATCAGAAATCCACTCATTGAAATTAGTTTACGAGTAAACATCCTGGAATCTGTAACAACTCGCCACAATCGACATCATGTAAGAGTTCACCGATGAAATTGTAGAGACATTGTATGCACATATATTGTTAGAATCAAGCCTTTCACAAAATATTCTTTCACACTGATATTTGACGTTTTACTGCAACCAAACTACGAATCCCCCCAAATTACCGTTGGTTACTCACAATCTCACTCTATCCGTTTCATTCACTTCGTTATTGTAGTACCAGCTTGACCATCCTAGTAAATCGGTGTGCATTAAGTAATAATATTTTGGAGTACATATTTTACTAATTGTGCATTACCAACGGTAAGAGAGACACTACTTCCGGAGATAGTACAAACTCAGCCACTTAAAATTCCATCATGCATAGAAATAAGTAGATCTTTATTTATACTATTCACTTATTGCAAACATAAAAATTTCAGATTTACGAAATTGAGAGTAAAGTAATACATTACTATCATCTACCTTTCTACTTGGACGAATAATAATTGCCCCAGGCTCTAATTCCGGCTCCATTGCTGCCAACTGATCATAGCTAATATTTTTAAAATATGGATGAAATATCAAACGAGACATGTATGGATTAGTTTTAGCCTTAGCTTTAGCCATTGCTTCCGCTTCAGAGCGTAGATCTTTTTCTTCTTTTTCAAAATCATAAAAAGCATCTTGACGTGGACGCCATATATGACGTTCATCCTATAAAAATAGGAAATAAATTGAATTTTTGAGGAAAACCTTATTAAACCACAAAAATGTAGGATTTTGAAAAAAATATTTTCATAGAAAATGCTTTTATCTGAAACATAAACATATTCTAATACTACCTGAGAAATCGAACACTTAAATATTCGCTGAAATATACCTTCAATTCCGCTGACTTGCAAGTGAGCTCCACATTAAATCTTGTTATGTCGATTTTAGTTACCCGACATTGTACAAGAGAACCCGGTTGAGTTCGTTCAAATAATTTATCTGGAGAATCCATAAACTTTAATGGTATAAATCCATCAATTCCATTATCTAATTGAACTCTTAATCCAACTGGTTGCCCAGGACATTCATTATTATCAAAATGACTCCAAACCTAAAAAATAAATAATAAAACCAACGACTAAGAAATTGTACAAATCAAACTGGTATGTAATGAAAATATCTGAAGTTAAGTACATATATAAGTAAAAATTTGATTTAAAACATTACGTGATTGAGTAGTTGGAAGTTATCTTGTTGACAAAACGGGCACATCCATAAACCATTTATTTCATTTTTAGTTGGATTTGCATTGTCTAATTGTTCAGGCCGTGGTCGTCTAGTAGCAACAGATAACACACGACATTCAACTAAACGACCAACATGTAAAGTTTCAGGTGTTTCATGTGTGACCATACTGAAAATACTTTCTGGATTAGCAGATTGATATGCTTCTCGATAGTCTCGATAACGATTATTCAATTCTTTTCGAATATCATACAAGGTGATATGTTTATCTCCATGTTCTTGTCGTTTTAATTCTTCTGCGAAAGCATCTAAATCAAGTTCACGTAAACGTGCAGGACTGAAATACAACAGAAATATAAGAAAACTCTGCACAACCAAATCGGTAAATAGTGTTTAACACAAATTATTTATTTGATTTGATTTGAACACATAGATATTGGTACAAGGGGGCACCAGATACATATGCGCCACACAAATCTCATTTGATTTGTGTGAGGGCCGTGACACTGCCCGGGTGCCCAAACAGAAGCAGGTGTTCAACACAAATGATGGAGACTATGCTAGATTGACAGTGGAAACAATAAAAATGACATATTTTCATGAACCAATATAATTAGAAATGAAAATTTAGTAGCTGAATGATAATATCAAAGCACATAACATTGACTTGAGGATTGTTTCACCTTTTATAACAGGTGTGTGTTGTATGTTTTGTGTACAGAAATTTATTTTCTAATAAGTGAACTAACATGTGCTAAGCAGACATTTAATATTATTGTATCATAAAAATAAGTATC